AAAAAAAAAAAAAAAAAAAAAAAAAAAAAAAGAACAACCCAAAATTAAAAAAAAAGGGACAAGTCAGACACGAGAGACAACAAGTACCATCCACACGCAAAGTAGAAGCTCCAAAGAATCTTGTCGGCTTTTCGAGAATCCAAGGGTCAGAATAGAATTAACATCGTTGCCATGGCAGTCTCAGCATTCAACCCTTTGAAACTTTCATCTTCTTCTTCTCTAGATTCGATTCCTTCAATCTCTTCTTCTTCTACTTCTTATTCTTTATTTCCGGCAAGCGTCAGCATCAGAAACTCCGTCGGATCTCATTTCAAGAGATGTCTAAAGCAGTCACGTTCTTCTATTCGAGCCATGTCTTCTTCTTCTTCTTCCGCTGCTTCTTCGTCTTCTTCTTTCGGATCGAGAATGGAGGAAAGCGTCAAGAAGACGGTTACTGAGAATATTGTCGTTGTTTACTCCAAAACTTGGTGCTCGTACGTTTTTTTTTCTCTTCTTCAGATCTTGATATTTTTTCTTTAAAAAACACGTGTTTATTGATGATTGGTTGGTGTTTGTGTGTGTGTGTGTTGCAGATACTGTACTGAAGTGAAGACATTGTTCAAAAGACTTGGAGTTCAGCCACTGGTGATTGAATTAGATGAACTTGGTATGTTTAATATTTATCTAACGTTTCTAAATAAAGTTTCATATATATATTATGTCATATTTGCTGATTAATTGATTTGGCTATGTTAATATAGAAATTATAGACTATGTCAAGGGTTTAGATACATTTGGAATTGGTTTTAATATACCCTTGTTGAAAGTTCTTGTTTATCTTTCAGTTTTGTGTATGATGATTATACTATGCTATTGTTTCTTGTAAACTTACTAGGATAGAATTATTATATTCTCGTATAAGTAAAAGTGTCTCTCTTTTGAAGACAGTTGTTAAGAGATTTATTTAAATGGATTCTTCATCCTTACCTTGAATTGTTGGATCATTCTTCAGGTCCACAAGGGCCACAATTGCAGAAGGTTCTGGAAAGAATCACTGGCCAACACACTGTTCCTAATGTTTTCGTTGGTAAGTTGTTCAGTAGCACTATAGTTTGGGTTTATGGACAACACATAACATTTGTTTAATCTTTTGTCCTAATGAACCAGGAGGTAAGCACATTGGTGGCTGCACAGGTACTCTCTATCTCTTCACTCTCCATATTGGTTAAGGAGAAACTTTCTCTGACTTCTCTGCATTATCATCTTCTTGTTGTTGTAATCTACAGATACAGTGAAGCTGAACAGGAAAGGAGATCTTCAACTGATGTTAGCTGAAGCCAACGGTAACACCAATCAAACTTAAGGAGATGATGGAAACTGGTTATGGATGGAGATTTTGCATACGGAGCTTGGAAGAGTTTTGAATTCTTTCTTTTGTAAACTCATTTTATTTTGTCAATGCATTGAACACCATTCAAATAATACACTATAACTAAATAACATATACACTATCATGTAGTATTATTTACATTACAATAGAGTGATCCAAAATAGTTACAACAAGGAAGAGAAAACATCTTGTAAGTTTCATATTGTTTACCTTAAAAAATTAAACTAAATACTTTAAAATAAAAAGAGATGTTAAATATTGGAAGCGTGGCAAGTTTATGATCACAGACCTAAGAGGGTGATCCAAAATGAAAGCAGAAGTCATCTTAATGAACAAAAGGAGAAGTTGGAGAGATTCTACAGAGACTAATGGCTACTCTGGTCTCTTCCCAGGGTTACATCTACCACTGTCATTTGAGTAAACGAGCTGTTATTCAGACAAAAGAACCTTACTCTCTCCGCAGGTTGTCCCGTCATAATCACATAGAGACACATGTTCTTTCTCCTCGTACTTGGACTCTGAAGATAAGTAGAAAGCATCACCCTACCGTGTGTTTTGCTGCAGACGAGCCATCTCCTTCTTCCTCATCTGAGATCAGGTACACTCTGTTTCTTTAGTTCTTGAAAGGTTGAAACTTGGTTAATCTCTCTGTTCACTCTGTTTATTTAGTTCTTGCAAAGGTTGTGACTTGATTAATCTCTCTGTTCAGTCTGTTTTTTTTAGTTCTTGAAAAGTTGAGACATGATTAATCTCTCTGTTCAGTATGTTTCTTTAGTTCTTGAAAGGTTGAGACTTGATGAAGCTCTGTTCACTCTGTTTCTTTAGTTCTTGAAAAGTTGAGACTGGAGTATTCACTCTGTTTCCTTAGTTCTTGAAAAGCTGAAACTTGATGAAACTCTCTTCACTCTGTTTCTTTAGTTCTTGAAAAGTTGAAACTTGATGAAGCTCTGTTCACTCTGTTTCTTTAGTTCTTGAAAGGTTGAAACTTGATGAACCTCTGTTCACTCTGTTTCTCTAGTTCTTGAAAGGTTGTGACTTGATTAATCTCTCTGTTCACTCTGTTTCTTTAGTTCTTGAAAAGTTGAGACTTGATGAAGCTCTGTTCACTCTGTTTCTTTAGTTCTTGAAAGGTTGAGACTTGATCACTCTGTTTTATGCTTTTCAGTGCTGATGCAAGAATCCGAAGTGAAGTTCTATCTCCATTCAGATCAGTCCGTATGTTCTTCTACCTCGCCTTCATAGCCAGCGCTTCACTAGGAGGACTAATAGCCACCTCACGCCTTATAGGAGCCCTAGCGAACCCAGCAAGATCAGGTGAAGTTCTTGAGATAGTAAAAGGCTTAGGCATCGACGTTGGTGCAGCTTCTCTCTTTGCCTTCCTCTACTTCCGTGAAAACAAGACCAAGAACGCTCAAATGGCTAGGCTCTCTAGGGAAGAGAATCTCGCAAAGCTTAAAATGAGGGTAGAGGAGAATAACAAGGTTATATCTGTGGGTGATCTTAGAGGGATTGCTAGGCTTGTGATCTGCGCTGGTCCTGGGGGTTATATAGAAGAAGCGTTTAAGAGGAGTAGAGAGTTTACTCAGGGGCTTGTTGAGAGAGGTGTGGTTGTTGTGGCTTATGCTACTGATGGGAACGCTCCGGTTTTGGAGTTTGATGAGAGTGAGGGTGAGGATGGGGAAGTGAGTCAGAGTAGGAGGAGATTGTGGCGTGTGGCTCCAGTTTTTGTTTCGGAATGGGAAAGGTAAGATCAGAGGTTAGATCTAACTTGAATGTATAATCTAGTGGTTAAAATGGTTCCTAGAAGATGTACGGAACCTCATAGTTAGGCATGTGGTTACTATCCGAACTCGACTCGCCGAACCGAACCGAACCAAAATTTTGTTTAGTTCGGTAGTTCGGATCGGGTAGTTCGGTTTTTTTAAAAAGAGAAAGTTGTTAACCAATTATGGATACGAACAAACCGAATTAACCTAAATTTCAAACTGAACTCACCAAAATTACCCTAGTTTAATCAAAATTTACCAAATTTTTAACCGAAATATAATCGAAACCAAAAATTTTGGTTAGTTTGGTAAAAAAATTTAAAACCGAACTACCGGTTCAATTGGTGAGATTTTGGTCCAACCGAATTACCCGACCTGAACTATCTGAACTACCCGCAGGCCTACTCATAATCATTCAAAAAAAAAATTATCGAGCTTACATGAGTTCTTGATTAGTTTATTTTCTTGAAACAGGTGGTTAGATGAGCAGAAGAAGCTTGCTGGTGTATCTTCAGACTCTCCGGTGTAAGTATTTTCTTTGCATTTGATTTGAAACATGGTTTTAGTGAATCTCTAGCATCGGTTCTTGAGCTGAGAGTGTGAGTGTTTTAGGTATTTGTCACTACGTTTGGACGGACGTGTAAGAGGAAGTGGAGTGGGTTATCCTCCATGGCAAGCCTTTGTTGCACAGCTTCCTCCGGTTAAGGGAATCTGGACCGGTCTTCTTGACGGTATGGATGGTAGAGTGTAAATACTTTCAGGATTAGAGACCTTATTGTATATTTTTAAGGGGGAGTGTAAAGTTATGGAAAGATTTTTTACTTAAAAATATTATTCACTTTTGTGGTAATTTAATTTGAATATGGTTGTGATTTAACCATGATTAGAGAGATACTTAAGCAAATCCAAATGGTAATTTTCGGTACATATGGTTCGAGTCAAGTTACAAACAGATAGGCCAGTAGAAAGATTAAACCAAATACATATGGTTCATTTAAGTCTCTCTCTCTCTCTCTCTCGTTTAAGCTTTAACTTCTTCAATCTCATCCAATGCATAGTTGTTGGTCGATATGTTGATGTAATTCACTTTCGCGAACCGGACCACAACCGGTTACCTGGTCTTCGGGTTCTGCACATTTTGTAACCCGGTTAAGAACATTATACATATCAGCATAGTGAAATGTATATATGTGACTGTTAGATCGGTTAAAAGTAGACTATGTGTTACCTGATCAACGGATCCAATGTTCTTGAACCAGTAGGATTCTCTCCTTAGAATCTTGACCTACGGCTACGAGCAACCACAACAGTTTTAGTTGTGTAATTGGTAAAGTAGAATCGCAAAATCATTTTGTTATGTCACTAGTATTCTATGTGTTGGGAAGGCTAAGAAAATAGGAGATGCTCAACTCTGCTTGGGGTTAAACGAATCGTTTCCCTCCACTTGAGCTCGGCCACTTAATATGATCAGTTTATGATGACATGGAATATTGATACTCTTCTTAGTTGATATCATGTCACCAACTTCTAGGCACTCTTGGAAGTTTATTTTTTTTTATAATCTAGAGGTTCCCCACTTACGTGGATCATTCCTCTGGGTCCGGTCAGACAACGGTCCACTTTACCCGGGAGGACTTTACCTGGGCTGGAAACAAAACCCAACATCCAGTACCGCATTTAGTGACAAGAATTGGCAGTTCCCCTATTTGACGTCGAACCCGTGAGCATGACAATTGGCTCACAAGGTCTTTACCAAACTGCTACGTCATTTCGTCCACTCTTGGAATTGTCCAAATAGGTTTGAAAATCTTTTCTTTCCTGAGTCATCTGTCTGCCAAAGAAGCGATTCTCAGAACGGAGATAGTCTAAGGATAAACTAAGGCAAATTCCTAAATAACTTCTTTTTTTGGTATATTCAGCAAATTCACCCTATAATATAATTTCTTAACATTTTTCTTAATTTATGTGAAAAGTCTATAATATTTATTTATTTATTGTGTATTTATTTCTAAAATCCATGAAATATCATCAAATCTATCATCGTGATCCTTGTTTAAATCTTAAAATGAATGCGTTCGCACACCAAATTTAAAATCTACTATATAAATGTATATATGTGCATACCTATAAGAAAATCAAAATAATTAGATAACTACAAGTACAAAACAAAAAGACAAAGGAAAAAAAAATGGAGAATTCATCATCGTGTTCGTCTACTTTGAAAGTTACATGCCAAGCAAACAAAACATCTTTGTGGAAGATAAGGAAGATCTTAACAGAGAAAAGTGAAGGTTGGCTTGATTTTGATAATAACAGCCATGTTGAGAAATATCTTTTGAAACATTTGATCAAGTCGATTAACATAATTAAAAAAGACCCTATAAAGATAAAGATCGACGATTACGATAGGGGACACCAGCACGAGGTTATTTTCGGGTATTTTCATGAAACTGATAAATATTATCTTGGGGAAATATGGAGGTTGAAGGAGCTTAGTGTTGGAGATGAAGTTGGATTCTTCTACGATCCCATAGCAAAGAACGTGTGTTTCTCTGTGTTGAAACAAGCTAAACCCTATGTTCAAAAGAAATAACAAGCAAAACCCTGATGATCAATCATAACTTGTTTAACTAGGCTTAAACATAGTAATAAGACATATGTCACCACTATTTATACATTATGTGGTTTGATTAATGGATTCATAATGTTGTTATATAATTACATTTATATGGTAGGATACTTTGATGCCAACTACTTATTCATTATTATAACATATATTTATTGGAGTTGATATCATTTTTGAAAATGGATCTTTATATATATTTTATTTATAATTAATCATCCATACGTTTGTTTTGTTAATTTATAAGCTACGATGTTTAAAATAAGTTTATCCTCTAAACATACAATTATGTTGGGTAATTCGATCGAGAGTTTCATTACACATTCAAGATCATCCATTCATAACATATGTTGTTCGTTTCAGCAGGAAATCCACTCGGTTTACCTATAATATATATGCTTTCGTGGGGTACACGTTAGGTTTAGGGTATCATTGTGTATTAACTTGCTGTTTTACTCAGTTACTCTTCTTTGGTGATACAGACAGGCCACATCTTATATTAGCCCTGTTCTTTTGATAAACTTCAGCAGGCTAATTATGCCAATGCCAAGGCAAGAGATTTTGGCAAAGTAAATTTTGTTGAGAATCTATGATAAACGTAAAATACTTTGCACTGTAAATTTTGTGAAAAGAAATATACAAAAAAATATACAAAATCAGACTTCAACTGGAGACAATGGAGGAATAAGATCTACTAACCGTTCAATTGTTTCCAGCTGATCATATGGAGCAATCTGCAGAAACATTTAACCAACTCAACACTCAATAATCTAAACCATTTATTGGTAAATCTATTTTTATATCCAAATTTTTTGGATTATGATTTCAAAAGTTTTATATCAGTTGTTAAACCTGGCTAAACCCGTCTGGCCAGGTTATGGAGACAGCATAGTTCCCCATTGGTCGTATTTCCTCAGGCTCTATATCTTCTGCCACATCTCCGAACTGAATCTTTTGTTCACCAGTCCATTCATCCTGTTTTAACAAGGATAACAACAAAAAGATACAAAGAATATTAGCATAATCCAAATTTGAAGATAATTTCAGGTAAATAATAGCAAAAAAAAAAAAAAAAGACAAAAGTGGATTCTTCTCTGGGTAAAATAAATGTCTTGCATACCACACTTTGTGCTGATCGATCATTTCTTCTGACAGTTGCAGGGTGAAGTAAGAACTCTTCATCTGAGTTTGGTACCTTCACTCTAATTGCTTTAAGATATTTGTCGTATGTCACAGCTGTGGAAACTGTATAGAAAATGCACAGACCAAGAAACAGTTAATTCACTTAGTATAATATGAGGTTTTTCTGTGAATAAAGGATATATTCTTTTTTTTTTAACCTTGCTGGCGTATCTTGGCGCATTGTTGCACAACACAAACACCAAGATCTTGGAAGGTTCTAGCAACTTCACTTAAAGGATCTGAAACAACTTCAGGAACTCCGCTATCTCCCGAAGCAGATAACTAAAACAATCACACAAAAACTATTTAAAACAGTTTTGTGTTGTTTCACAGAATTTCTATAAATTTGTATTATAGTACCGTTGGCCTAATGGGGAGGTCAAAAAGGTGAGGTATTCCGAATTGTTGGACAACCTACAGCACCCAGAGACTTAATTTCACAAGTTGTTATCATTTGAAATTTTTATATGTTAAGATAAGCCAAGGCTACCTGAGAACCTGAACCTTTCCCAAAAGGGTAATAACGTTTCCCGTCAGCGTCAAAATGACACATATTCTCCACAACAGCAACACAAGGAACCTACTCCTCCGTACAACCCAAACAGACAAATAAAATCTCAGATACTTGTTGTTGTAAAGTCAATGTAAAGGCCAAGAAGAGGGGAGTTTAATGATGGGACAAAGAAAAAGAAAACCTTTAGCTTTGAGAACATTCGTACACCTTTAGCAACATCTATAAATGCCAGTTTTTGAGGTGTGGTCACTATTACCGCTGCTGTTAAAGGCGCAACCTGAGTTGTTGTATATATGCATCATGAATTGATTGAATAAAGGCACTCAAAAAGAAAAGAAAAAAAGGTTCATGATTGTAGTAGAATCTTGAGAACTGAACCTGGCACAGGGTTAGTTGAATGTCCCCGGTTCCAGGAGGCATGTCGATAACAAGATAATCCAGCTCTCCCCTGCCTCAACAAGATTTATGAGTTGTTGGTTCTTGAAAAAGATAATCAAAGTCTATGTAAAATAAAGAAACAAACCATTCAGTAGTTGTAAGGAGTTGATTGATGACACCAGAGACCATTGGACCTCTCATAATGGCACGTCCTTGCCCTGCAAACCCAAATGAGACTAGCTTCACCCCCAAGTATTCTGTTGGGATGATAGTCTTCTTCTCAGGATCCTGTTGTATTATATTTTATATATAACAACACTCTTAGCCCCAAGTTATATTTGGTACCACAAGATGAATAGTTTTATAAATACCATTTCAAGAATACGGCTCTCGGGATTGACCATAGTAGGTAAACTAGGACCATAGACATCAGCATCAAAGATGCCAACTCTTGCACCCATACCAGCTAATGTATAAGCAAGATTCACAGCTACTGTAGATTTTCCAACACCTCCCTGAAAACGACACAAGTCACTGTCATGAACTAAAGAGATGCAAGTAAAGAAGAAACATATCAATATTGTGGATAAACAAATCCCCTTCCACATTATACAAGGAGTTACAAAAGAGAAACATTAAAGTAGCTAAGGGGAATGTTGTAACCTTGCAACTAGAGACAGCAACAATGCTTGAAATTCTAGATAGACCAGGTGGAAGCTGCCCTGCAAAAATGGGTTTAGCTGGTTGTGCAGACATTGTCACGTTCACCTTCTTCACCCATGGAAGCGCTGCAACTACCTCATTTGCTTGCTTCTCAAACTACAAAAAACATTATCATGTAACAAAATAACTCATTAGATAGCTTCATGAAATGATTATTTGATTTCAAAACTCCTAGTTTAGCCTAATTGTTACTCACAAGAGTGAGTGGTCAAAGGGAGAATGTGATCATTAATTTACCATATCTTTGACAGGACAAGCTGGTGTTGTTAGTTCCAAACGAAATGAAACCTAACCAAAAAAAAAAAAACATGTTTCTAAGTTCCAAACCAAGTACATAAAGTATTAAAATAAATATTATTACCTCACCAAGAGATTGGTCAATAACCAAATCTTTAACAAAACCACATGAGACTATATCTGTCCCAAAATCAGGATCAATGATCTGAGACAAGGCCTTTAACACCTCTCCCTTTTCTTCTTCTAATGTTTCAGAACCAATACTACTTGCTGCTGTGAAATTGCATACATATATTTAATTAAGATAATTTTAAATATGAAATTATTAATTTACTTGCTACCTTGAGCTGAAGAAGAAGAAGAAGCTTTAGCAGTAAGAGAGAGTTTGTGCTTGTGAGGTGATCTTTTCCACATCAGAACGTTTGGTTTACATACGAATCTTCGTGGAGACGGAGACGGAGACGGTGAAGGGAGTAGACATGCACCTGCTTGCCTCGAACGTAAATAAGAATGGAGATGATGAGGCACCGTTGTTTGACTCATCCTCGTTCGTTCGTTGTGGGAAGCTTGAGAGTGGCGCGTGATTTCGATTTTCGTAGGATAAGGGAAGAAGAAGCCTTGAGAGTTTGATGACACGTGTTTGGCTGTGATGACATTAGAATCTTCATCCCCTCTTTCCCTTCTCTATCTTCGTATTTGGGCTTACAAAAGCTGCTACTGGGCCCATAGTGTGATTTTTTTTACAGTTTCACTATCTCAAAAAAACAGAGAGGTAACAGTGAGAAAATTTGAAATGTAATATAATCCCAACTACGAAAGTCGCTGTAAAAAAAAATATATAGCTTTGATCATCTAAACACTTTAAACTAAGGATTGAGAAGATTGCGCCACCTCGTGAGGAAAGACAAAGATATGACCAAGAACCTTCGTCTGGTAGATTGCTGATGAATGATGCGATCCATCTTCTCTAAGCAGACCCACCTTAACTTCCAGTAGCAAATTTTCCAGTGAATTCAGTGACTGAGATTCGAGAGAAAAAAAAAGGGAATACAAATTTTGAGAGGACTCTTTGAAAGCCCTTTTTACAAAAATAAAAAGATTTAGAGGACTCGACTTCTTTCATTTCTGTAACAACAATAGTGCTTCACTTTGGGCTTGCTAAAGTGTTGTAACATATCCAGGCCCAAGTTGACTTTGAACCAGTTTACCAAATTCATCAAAATATAATAACTACTATAATAATTTCTACCAAATATTCATGTACCAAAATCTTCTATTATTGTTTGAGAATTGATTTCTCTGTCCATAATTTAGGATAAAATCATTAATTTATTATTTAATTCTGTTAATTTTTCATTTTTTCCATAAGTTTAGGATAAAATTTTTTTTTTATTAATACTATTATTTAATTATTTAAAACTATCTTAATATATATATATATATCTTATTATATAAAGCTTGGTTCCTCAAATTTACTAATTAACACGATTGCGACACATGGCGTTTATGTTTTTAAGATTGTGACATATGTTACATAAAAAATAGTAATTATCTTTTTAGAAAAATTAGTTGTATCCTTTAAAAAATAGTAATTATCCTTTTAAATTTAACACTGATTTTCCTTCTCTCAAATAATACAGAAAAGTTAATTGTCAAAAAAATAGTAATTATACCTTAAAAAATTGTTTAAAAAAACGATTACTGCTAATTTCCTTATAATAGTTATTATTACCAAGTATGATTATTCATATATATATATATATATATATATATATATATATATATAAACCCTCTCATATTTGGTCACTTCTCATATTTTATCACCATACACCATACATAATTATTGATTCAAGACAAATATAAGGTTAGTTTATATATATTGATCATCATATGTTCTTCCTCGCATGTTTTTTTTTATAAAAGTTTAATTCTTTAAAGTTACTAATTAACATGATCACGGCATGTGACAATAACAATCGTGAGATTGTGACATTTGTCGAAACAATTATCATAAATATAAAACTAATCAATCAAAAAATATTTGATAGTATCTTTTCCTTTTTTAAATTCTAAATAAAATATAATTACAAATAGTTATTTGCAAGTAATTTTTTTTTTAAATCCTTAATTCCATATTTTACTTCCTACACAAAAAGAATTATAAAATAAAATAGTAGTTTTCAAAAAATATATAAAGTAAAAATGAATTATAAATTTTACAAATACTTATAAAAATATTTAATATAATTTTCGTTTTTAAAAAATCCTAAACAAAAGAGGTGTAAGCTATTTGTTTGTAAATAACTAACTTTCATGTTTATTAAAAGACTTCCTATTTAAAAAATCATAAATCAAAATTTTTTTTTCATAATAATTATAAATAAAAGATAATTGTAAATATGTATTTGTACGTGAATTTTTCCTTTTTTAAGATCTTAAATGCCATATTTTGATTCCTACACAAGAGAATTATAAAATAAAATAGTAGTTTTCAAAAATATATAAAGAGAAAATGATTTATAAATTTTACACATCTCACAAATTAAAAGAAAAATTACTATCAAATAATTTCTTACAATCATCTTTTATTTAGGGTTTAAGAAAATAAAAATTAGTATTAAATAAATTATTTTACTAATTTTGTTGTTGTTTATGATTTGTAAAAAGGAGAACTACAATATAAACAATCTTTACTTTTTACTATTAGCTAGAATTAAATTAATTTTCCTAAATTCTTTTTACTATATCAGTATATCTATTTTTAATTATAAGATATTTTAACACTTGTCACAATATTAAAAGGAAAATTCCGATCAAAGAATATTTTGCAATTATTTTTGTTTATGATTTTGAATTAAAAAAATTAACTAATATTCATAATTACTTTTTAACAAAAAAAAATTATTATCTTAATCATGCAAGATTCTAACACTTCTCACAATATTAAAAAGAAAATTACTATCAATTAATATTTTACAATCATCCTTTATTTAGGATTTAAGAAAAGGAAAATTAGTAATAACTAAATTATTATACAAATTGTTTTTTTAGGATTTTTAAAAAGGAAAATTACAATACAACCAATATTTACTTTTTACTATTAAATTAAATTAAATTAGTTCACCCAATTTCGTTTGATTATATTAATATATATATATTTTTTATCACAATATATTTTAACACATGTTAGAATACTAAAAGGAAAATTTCTGTAAAATAAAATTTCGCAATTATTTTCACAATATTAAAAGGAAAATTCCTATCAAAAAATATTTTGCAATTATTTTTGTTTATGATTTTAAATTGAAAAATTACTATTAACTAATATTCATAATTACTTTTTAACAAAAAAAAATTATTATCTTAATCATGCAAGATTCCAACACTTCTCACAATATTAAAAAGAAAATTACTATCAATTAATCTTTTACAATCATCCTTTATTTAGGATTTAAGAAAAGGAAAATTAGTATTAACTAAATTATTATACAAATTTTTTTTTAGGATTTGTAAAAAGGAAAATTACAATACAACCAAAATTTACTTTTTACTATTAAATTAAATTAAATTATTACACCCAACTTCGTTTGATTATATTAGTATATATATTTTTTCTCACAATATATTTTAACACATGTCACAATACTAAAAGGAATTTTTCTATCAAATAATATTTCGCAATTATTTTTGTTTAGGATTTTAAAATGGAAAAGTACTATTAAAACTTTTCCCAAATTCGTTTTATTATATTATTATATATATTTTTAATCATAAGATATTTTAACACATGCCACAATATTAAAAGAAAAGTTCCTATCAAATAATATTTTGCAATAATTTTTGTTTAGGATTTAAAAATAGAAATTTACTATTAACTAATATTTATAAATAATTTTTAACAAAATTCGTTATCTTTTTAATTATAAGATATTTTTACACTTGTCACAATCTGAAATATGTAATTGCCACATGTCACAATCGTGTTAATTAGTAACTTTGGAAAACCAAGCTTTATATAATAAGATTTTTAACAAAATTCGTTATCTTTTTAATTATAAGATATTTTTACACTTGTCACAATCTGAAATATGTAATTGCCACATGTCACAATCGTGTTAATTAGTAACTTTGGAAAACCAAGCTTTATATAATAAGATTATGAATATAATTTTCCTTTTTTAAAAATCCTAAACAAAAGAGGTGTAAATGTAAAATTTCAGCCATTTGTTTGTAAATAACTAACTTTCATGTTTAATATAAAATTTCCTATTTTAAAAATCATAAAGCAAAAAACTACGAATTCCATGTATATAGGTCTAACTGTTTAAACTTTCTCATATTTTTCACATAACACAATAATATTTACAACACATATATTACGTGAGTATCTTTTTTTATCTTCATGATATATACTCTAATTTTATTATTATGATACTTTCTACATCTGATGATATTGTAACTGTTGTAAAATTATGATAATGTCGTTGTAAATGAGTACATATGAATATTATGAATAAGTGTTACTACATGAAAAAAATATATAACTAATTTTAATATCACTTTATTACAATATTTTGTTTTACATGTTTATAAGTGTCATAAGTCACTTTTACCTAATTTTCTACTTTTTTCCAATTTATTATATTTCTTCTAACTTAAATTTTTATTAGTTTTTCAAGTAAAAATGAACTCATATAGTTATTTAACATATGTTCAGTTAAATAATTTTTTTGTTAAGTGTAGTATACTTTACTAGAAGAGAAATTTTCTAGGATGGACCGAAAAAAAAATTGTCACAAATATAGACCTTATAAATAAAAATGACCGAAATAAATTTAAATGTTTTATCAAAAAAGTAAATATAAACTTATACCCCTACGATTAATTAATCAAGATATTACAATTTAGAGTTAAGAGATGGAGTTGGAGTTTAGACATTATAATTTTTTAAAATCCTAACAAAAATAAAATAACCTATTTAGTACTAAAATAATTTGATGAGAAGTATGATGCTAAAGCCATTACATTAACAAAAATTAAAAACAAATAGGATATTTTCGTGATTGATATTTATCTGTTTGGTCATACATAAATCAAACACATATTTGATATATACAATTTTCATGTTTGCTCATAAAATTGATTATTATAATTGTCACCGTAAATAAGTTTGGTAAAAAAATTCAAATTTCATAGTTATCTTATTTTTTTCTTTAATTATAGTATGTAATATTTTCTAATTCAGTATAACTAAAATCTTAATTATGAAAATGTATCATTAATAAATAATGAATCAATAAAATTATTTAACACCAAATTAGTTTAATAAAAACATTAAATTAGTACATAACAAAGTGTATAATATTTTCATTACTTCTTGGCCTTAGTTAAATTCCAAATTTTGTTTTATTCCATTTTAAATTTTATTTCTGGTTAGATATGTTTACATTTTTAGGTATGAATGTTTTTTCTAGCTCTATGTACAAAAATGATAACAATTTACCTATGCACCATGATTATAAAAAAAAAATATTAACTGAAACTTATGCATGAAAACAAATTATTACTTATAAAATAAATCTCACATAACATATGCAAAAGAATCTTAAAACTATAATATTTTTTATTAGTCATAATATCAAACAAAGTCCGTTGCAACGCAACGGGCCCAAATCTAGTATATTATAATATTGTGAAATAATTAATTAGCAGGATTTGCCAAAACCAACCTAAAATTTCATTTCAACCCTAAAGATGTACCCCTTATTGAGTCAAATGCAAAACCAACCTAAAGGGGTTATGAAGTTACTACTTAACCCTTGTGACCAAACAAAAAAACAGACAGTTATTTTACGGTTCTGTCCTTTGTAAGTCTACACATAATAGAGAGAAGTCTACACATTTGTAGACCTTCTTAGAAGTCTACTTTGTAGACGTATTCTACAGTCTACATC